TCATCCCAACAAAATCCATTCAGTTGCGCGCGAACAGGCACTTCATGCATGGCAGCAGTGGAAAGCTCCTTCCGAAAAGAAACTTTACACCGACATTCACGCAGAAAATGATGAGTTCTAAAGATGATGTATTACGACCTCGAAAGATGTGTTAGGAAACTTAGGCCTGTTTCAAACGTCGCACTTCTCATGTGCTGAACGCATTAAAAACAATACATAAATGATGCATTTCAACTGTATTGTTTTTAATGCGTTCGGCACATGCCAAGAAGCGCGATGTTTGAAACAGGCCTTAGGTTAGGACTAATATCGCATTTTGAGCCAGTAATTGCATTTCCTGCTCTCTCTCAGCTACGAATTTTGGATATCGTTTTGTCTTTTGAATAAGTCATAATCTTTTTTAAGAAGGGTGCTAGCTCGCCCTCGCTAGCTCCCGTGATTTCGGCACCACTGATCGACGCGTTACCACGCACTTCAAGCGAAAATACAATTGCAATGATAAATATTTTGCGACTGCCCCTTCATCATTGTCAATATTAATAAGACCAGCAAACATCTACATACACCTGCATCAATAAGTTAACAATAAGTTCAAATACGACTCAAACTTACCAATTTCCATAGTTCAAATGCGTTTAGATACAATATCCGACGGTTCAACAATTTTAATAAAAACTGCAAATGCATGAGGTATCTCATTTTCCAGTACTATAAAAAGAACAAATGTCAATTTCAACCTTAAAATATATATTTTTATTGAACTATATTTCATTTGCACTAATTGATTATTTTTTAAAAAGATCCGAAACTGTTTTTAATTATTTATCAAGATTTATCTCATCTATATGATGGTCAGGGTAAAATGGAAACTGAGAAATGTTGAAGGATTTCGTAGATATAATGTTCGAGTGTGATTTTTATACATTTATTTAAACGTAACCAGGAACAGTTACGAGAAATGTAACTATACGACCTCTCGCAGGAATCAAACCATTCACAAATTTGAAAAAAAATATGAACAAAAAGATAAAACAACGATTTGGCCGAATTTCCAAATCTTGAGGAGCTTGATTGATTATGATGCAATTCACATTTGCATCGTGTCCGCATTCTATACATTTAGTCATTTGGCCGGGTTCATAATATATTAACGCTGCTGTCGGAAGAAGATTAAATAATAACCGTTCTCACAACAAAGCAGCTGAACTCGCACGGAAAATGTCTGTGCCGTCTCCTTTGTAAGAGTTTCATGTACTTCAATGAATTCGGAGCGGGCCGATTTGCGAAAAGATGGCATTATAATAATTAGCGTTACTCTAGGACTCTAGGACCGAAGCTGGAAATCTACAAAACATCATCTTCTAATTTCTGGTTTGAATTCGGTGAGTTCCACATGATTTAATGCCTGCAGTTTATCTGGTTTAATATGCAGACAAAAAACAACGTTTAAGCATTAATTTCTGTCTTCTTCCAACGATTTTGTCTTTTCTTTTGGTTCCAAATTCTTACCAAAAATGAAATGGAATTAACAGACTCGTTTACACTTTCGAATTAACAGCCCTTGGCAGCTTTCTAAGACTCGCTATTTTCGGGGGGGGGGGAATGTCTGATAAGAAATAGCAGAAATTTCCGCTCTTCTGAAAAAGTAATCATTTACCACATTATATAGTTATAAAGATTATGTAATAGACAACTATCAGACTGACCTAGTCATTAAGAGATGAATAGAATGAGGAGGAGCTACTACTTTTTGGAGGGCCACGGGATGTGGTTTTACTGGGTTGTTATGTGTGTAACATGGTTTCTTTGTTCAGCAATTTAAAGACAACACAATGAGTATATTGCGCTCATTGCTCTTCATCTCAGTCGTTACACTGGGCTTCCAAGCAAGACCTGGTAAGATTTGTTATAACTACTGTTATCACTAGAAAGTTTGTAAAAGATAGTAGAGTTAAAGCACATGCATGGAGTGTAGTGCGGCTCGTGCCAGAGGTCAAAGAGTAAAGAGTCGTATCTACCATTTAAACCGAGATATCACTTATCCTTATATTCATCATCTGCTTCTGTTTGTTAGTTCTGCTCTATGTTATAACTAGTATTCATGTTTTACATAATTGTTAAGGAAAGTGCCTAGATATCCGTGCTTATCCAGGTTTTCTCAGACATAAATCCACCCATAATATATCACTTCTCATTACCCGGCTATCTTTACAGGACTGTTTGGTCATATCTCATCTCAGGGGGATATCATTCTCGGAGGGCTTTTTCCCGTACACAAGGAAGGCAGCCGTGAAGACATTTGTGGACCGTTCAGTGAAATTCCTGGGTACCAGTACATGGAAGCTATGCGTTATGCAGTTGACCAAATTAATAACAGATCCGATATCTTACCAGGAATACGACTTGGTACGATCATTTACGACACTTGTCGAAGTCCCACGATCACTGCCGATCATACAAAAGACTTTATTAAGTCTTCACTGGAACGTGGCGCTAATGGCTCCGAATTTGCGGGTGTAATTGGCCCGTTCACGAGCGGGAACTCGATAATAGTCGCAAACTTTCTCCGAGTTTTTGAAATTCCACAAATCAGCTATGGCGGTCTAACAGTTGAGCTGAGTAACAAAGGTCGTTATGGCTACTTTTTCCGAACCGTTCCGCCAGACAGTTTCTTTGCCGAAGGTTTGGCGAGGCTTCTCGAGCATTTTCGATGGAATTTTGTATCAATTATATACTCGAGTGGAAAATATCCAGAGACTGGGACCGAAGAGGTTGTCAAAGCGTTGTCAAGACGGGACATTTGTCTCGCAAAAAGGCATCGGCTACCGCGATTTCCCACTGAAGAAGACTTTGACAAGGCCATTGCAGAAGTACTGTCAGTTGAAGAAGCAAAAGTGACTGTGTTCGTCACGATCCAACGAGACTCGCGTGGCTTGCTCAAGGCAAAGAAACGTAACCCGCTGGCCAAAAGGCTTGCAATCGTTGCTAGTGTTTCCTGGAGTAACCGTGATGACATCACAAAGGGCCTGGGGCTGGTGGCCGAGGGAACTATTACATTCGGTCATTTGGGCGGCAGCAATATGCAAGAATTTGAAAATTACTTTCGTTCGCTCAACTTGTCAAATTACCAGCAAAATCATAGAAAATGGTTTGAAGAATTCTGGGAAAGTCAATTCGAATGCTCCCTTGGGAATACAAGCAATTATTCCAAGAAATGTACGGGAAAAGAGAATCTCTTGTCCCATCAAATGGAAATAGCGCCAGTCAGAGTGGTCATCAATGCTGTTTTCGCAATGGCTTATTCACTGGAAAACATGCGAAAAATCTTATGCCCAAATATTTCGGGAATGTGCAGCAAAATGAAACCACTTTCCAGAAATCTGTTAAAAAAATTCTTAGAAAACGTTACTTTCCCGGATTCGTGCTTCAACTGGCCAATCATGTTTAATCAAAACAACGAAGTGGCTGGAAACTATACAGTCTTCAATTATCGACAATCAAAACCTGGTGTGTTCTCCTATATCCCAGTTGGCAATTGGACGAGTAAATTACAGGAAAATGGTGAAATTTCAGGAAAATTACAATTAGATATATCTAAGATACGATGGCCAAATGAAACGGTTCCGATCTCTAAGTGTAGTGTGGATTGCGGGCTTGGAAATGTCAAACAGCCTCGATATGGTGAAGAATGCTGTTGGGATTGTGTAACTTGTGACAAGTATGACGTCATCCTTAACGAGACGACGTGCCGCGCATGTGCAGAAGGTTATGTCCCTGATGCCAACTTTTCAAGTTGCTTGAAGCTGGAAGTGAAATATATGAACTTGAGAAGGCCGCTTGCTGTTTTTCTTGTGTTTCTTGCATCTGTTGGAATAATCACCAATCTAACAGCTTTGATTGTTTTTTACATCAAGAGAAACCACCAGCTGATCAAAGCGACGAACATCGAAGCTTGTTACTTCATCTTTTCTGGCATTTTCCTAATTTTCATAACTGCCATAGTATTTGTGGCTAGACCAACACAAAGTCTTTGCTACACACAACGCTTTCTCCTGGCAAATTCATTCACTGTGTGTTATGCTGCTTTGCTCGTAAAACTGAGACGAATTTACAATAAATCCATACGTGAAAACCAGCTTGGCAACCAAGGAGAAAGCTCACATTTTCTCAGCTTGAGACTTCACTTAGTGATCACCATCAGTATAATCATTATTCAAGTCCTTTGCACCGTGCTCACAATCACAAGAAACACACCAAAATTACGAGAAAACTTTTACTTCAAAACTGGCGAACTTTTGCTGGAATGTCCATTAAAATCGTCTGTATTCGTTGCCTACATTGCTGGAAGTCTTATTCTTGTCTTTATTTGCACTGGCTACGCTTTTCTAACACGAAATATACAGAAAAACTTTCACGAAACGCGCTATATCAGTTTCACAACCTACACATCAAACGTCCTATGGGTCGTGCTACTTGCGTTTTTTCTTAACTCCGAAGACAGTTTTTCCCGCCAAGATTTGATAGCTGGTATAAGCCTTCTGATTGGTTGGTTAACGCTACTCGGATTGTTCGCCCCACTCTTCTATCATCTACGGACAAAAAAGGTTTTCGACAGGACTTCGTTAATTGACTGGGATCTGGTGCGAACAGGTCCTAGGATGGCCAATCCGAGTTGAGATTGTTAGTATAACCACACTCTGGATTGGTCTGGAACTTAATACGAGAAGGGTGAAAACACTCACTAAACAAGGCAACCAACACGAAATTCCCGAATGCCAATGTTAAAAAATATTATGCACGAGAAGCAGAACAGAAACGAACAAGAAACCGTTCAGTATCTGCATGGTTTCTAAACCCAGAGAAGTACGTACGTAGCTGAGTTTTTACCAATGCAAAATTCATACCGAGTGATCACAGTCAGAAAGTTTGATGGTATAAAACAACGGCTTTATAATATGTTATAATGAGTGATGGATCATGCGTTGGCAATATATCGTATGTGACACTGGATTGCGTGTCGCTAATTAAAACACTAATCAGTGTAATTGTGAAAAGACATTTTCTTGACATTGAGTGCTAAAAACCTATACTCGTGGATAACAACAGTCAGTATCTTTCAGTAATATATCTTTAAAACTGGATCCCGTATATTTTATCGAATGCAACAGCAAAATTTTATCTCTAATCTTTATCTTTTATCTTTATCTTTAATCGATTTGAATGCTAATTTAAAGAGCAATCGTTTAAAACATTTTCAAAATTTAAATTTGTCCAATGAAATATAGTTAACAAACTGCTGTTAAATTAATGAAATTTAAATTTTAATGTTCTTATCGCAAAAGCCGCGGATGAAATCAAAGAACACAAATTACTTCCTCTGCCACTGGTTTTGATAAGCAACTAAGCAAGCAACTTCGTTTTAATAATAAAAAAATCAAAGTTTTCAGCAGAGATAAATAAAACTTTTCGGCTAAAGTGGATTGGATATAAACAAGGTTAGTAAAACATGCCATGAAACTTTGAAGGAAACTCATTCTGGGAAACAGAAATCATCTCAAATTTCATTTTAAACAGCAAAAGGGACATAAATAGGACTGGACTTATAAAATTCCGGACTCTTTGACTTATGAATCTCCAGACCACTTAATTAAATAACAATCCTTTGAAAACTTGACTGAAAATTCGGTCTTAAAGAAAATCGCAATGTATACAAGTTGACAAGTGAACGTTCCGTAACGTATCGTTGAGACACATACGGTTGAAGTGGAAATTATGCATGAATCGTTAACGAGTATCACAAGATTTGTGCATGAATACAGGAAATTAAATTTTTTTGTTTCTGGAGTACTAGAGTGGAACTATAATGACATTCGCAAAAGAATACGTTGCGACACATACATGCAGTTGAAGTATCTGCATGCATCGTTGATGAGTATCACAAGATTTATAAAATATTGCATGCAGGAAGGTCTGCAAGATACGGGAAACTATAAGAGTCCGTGCTTGGAAGCATGAGTCAACACTATTCCAGATTTTTACATGCTCATTTTAGTTGCATCGTGATAATATTGTACTTGTAGCCAGCTTGGAGTGAGATTTCCGTCATTTGTGCAGTTTCTATAAAGAACCGCACCTCTTGCGCGCGTCACATTTGACATACAGAAGGCAACAGAATAACTAAGACGGATCAATCCAACTTGAGTCTAAAATCTGGGACGGAATAATAAGGTAAGAATAAAATTTTAACTAGTACTTCGCTATTAGTATTACTTATTCGCAATGGTGTTATAGGATAGGACGAACGAATTTTGATATGTAAAGGAAAAAAATATTGGATGGGATGAAATTTTTCAGACTAGAAATCCGGCTCAAATCAGATGCAGCTTTATATATATTGATATGACTTGTGTATGTCTGGCCATGTTTAATTTAATGTTTGTTTGTTCGTTTGTGGTATAGAGCACGTCATTAAGACTGAGCTTAGGAAATTTAGGGTCGTCTTGCACCCATATATACCTTAATTAAATTAATGTGAGTAAAAATTGTACTGATCGAAACTATACAATATGTCGAGGATATGCATCTACCTGAAAAACGAAAGCAGAAATTCTACTTTTATTTTTCAAGTATAGTTGAATAATTGCACATCCCTGACACAGTCGCTGTTTGCTCTCGTCTCGACCTATATCGACTGTTCGAGATTTTTCAAAAACTCCGATGCTTTTGTTTCAATTTGATCCAACAAGGGGGATATTTTCTGATTATATTTGTATGCGAGTTAATATTTATGCCCAGGTCAAACAAAGGTCAGCTCACGTGGAAGTCATGTGGATCTGAAATCGTTCATTCTACTGACGCAGTTCAATGTTGCGGCAGAACGCGCTGTCTCACAAATCATAACTCTTGGAGTAAAACATTTTTGGAAATGTGAAAGATCAATATACAAAACGCGAACAGCCCTGACAGCAGCCTGATGAAGGCGCGTTTACAATTTTTGCTGCGATTTTCCTCTTCTGGAGGATGTGAACGAGTTATGAACACTGGATGAACTCGTCTGCTCGTTTTCATGCATCAGAAGGAGAAATCGCACTGGAAGTGTAAACGGGCCTTAATACCCTTTTAATATCTCAGAAACGACACTGAAATAGTGTTAAATGTGATAAGTACAGGTGAGCTTGTTTTGAACAACAATTGAGTATTGGCTAACCTTGCTATATATGGATTGATTTATCTAAAATTATACAAACAGTTTCAAATGCACTTTGATGATATTTTGATTATGTCATAACATCATCTCTGAAAATATCCGTCATTAATATAACATTCAGTCAGGCCGACTACCATATTAGCATCGCGTTAATGGTCTAATGATTTATATAACAACCCGAGGTAACATCAAAGGAAAAAAATAAAGGGCTGTGGTTCAGTAAAGGTCGTAAAGTAAGATACTAGAGGAAAGGTACATATCACGATCCTCACGCAAGTCCAGATGTGTATGGTTCAGTGACCGCCAGCTGAATGACCGCGGAGTGTGTTTGGAATTGACGGGGAGGGGGGGGTACGCGAAGGTCAGATTATTTTAACCATGTCTATTAATTATCATTCTTCTTTTACTTATAATATAAGTGTCATAAGTCTGAAATGATGTCAGACTGCAAAATTTCCGTTTGATGTCAATGTTTGAATTTCCTTTATGCACCTGAGTAATGGCAGATGTCTGAAGTAATTTCAGTAAACAACGGGTTACTATTTTTCAGACCTGATGCGTCAAACTACAGAGATTTGTTTCAGTCTTTCTTGTGTTTAAAATGAAGTCGGAAGTTGGCCATGGACCAAGTGATATTTCTAACGTAGTATGGAACAAATTTATTGCTTGAGACAAACTCTCGTAATTTTCTTTAAACTTGTTGCTTCGTGAAAACAATACTATTTCCAGTCTTTACAATACAAACTGGTTTTTTTCAGGTTCAGGTTTAGCTTAATGTTAGTTAGTTTCTTTCATTTACATATTCAGTGTCCATATAGGTCATGCAACTATAACAATTTTTTGTATAAATCAAATATAATGATTAATGTAGTCGCTGGGAAGGTATATAAAAGAAAACAGGAAGGAGATTTTTTCCACCAGTTTTACGTTGCAAATTTAGCACGGTCATTTAGGAAGAATGACCAGAACACCATTTTTTCCCACCATTGTCACATCCCACTAGACAATTCCAGGGGTTTTTAAAATTAACTATGTATTTTCTGTCTTAATTATACGTAATTATGTGCTTGTGTGCCACCCGTTTTCCGACAGATTGCTATTCTAGTTGTGCAAACAGGAAAAACCAACTTTAAAAACTCTCGACTTTATCAATGTGTCATCACTAATTAAATCTTACTGCATGCTGCTTGCATGTAAAGGTTTAAAGTCCAAAAAATATAGTAAGAGCAAGTTGAAAGCAATGAGCTCTATACATCTGGAGCAAGATCTTCACTCATTCGGCCTGTGAGAAAATTAAGCCAAAATGGCGGCCAGTGACGTCCAATATCTATGAAGTTTGTAAACAATTTTTATACTATCCCCCCCCCCCTCCCCCCCAGCTAATTCCAGTATTTTTTTCTAATGGACCACATCGCTAACCAAGTTTTCAGTTCATAAAACCTGAGTATTATTCTTTCAATCCAAGTCAAAATACGAAATTTCGGCACACTTCGCGCAGACAAAAACATTAGAAAGGGACTGAAACCGACATCCAATAGCTCCATCTTTTTCTTCACTTTTTGGACTCAAGTTCTCACTGCAGACATATATGAAGATCAGTGGTTGAAAGCAAGAATTCCTCACTCCAGACATAGTATGAAAATCACTGGTTGAAAGCAAGAATTCCTCACTCCAGACATATATGAAGATCACTGGTTGAAAGCAAGAATTCCTCACTCCAGACATAGTATGAAAATCACTGGTTGAAAGCAAGAATTCCTCACTCCAGACATATATGAAGATCACTGGTTGAAAGCAAGAATTCCTCACTCCAGACATAGTATGAAAATCACTGGTTGAAAGCAAGAATTCCTCACTCCAGACATATATGAAGATCACTGGTTGAAAGCAAGAATTCCTCACTCCAGACATAGTATGAAAATCACTGGTTGAAAGCAAGAATTCCTCACTCCAGACATATATGAAGATCACTGGTTGAAAGCAAGAATTCCTCACTCCAGACATAGTATGAAAATCACTGGTTGAAAGCAAGAATTCCTCACTCCAGACATATATGAAGATCACTGGTTGAAAGCAAGAATTCCTCACTCCAGACATAGTATGAAAATCACTGGTTGAAAGCAAGAATTCCTCACTCCAGACATATATGAAGATCACTGGTTGAAAGCAAGAATTCCTCACTCCAGACATAGTATGAAAATCACTGGTTGAAAGCAAGAATTCCTCACTCCAGACATATATGAAGATCACTGGTTGAAAGCAAGAATTCCTCACTCCAGACATAGTATGAAAATCACTGGTTGAAAGCAAGAATTCCTCACTCCAGACATATATGAAGATCACTGGTTGAAAGCAAGAATTCCTCACTCCAGACATAGTATGAAAATCACTGGTTGAAAGCAAGAATTCCTCACTCCAGACATATATGAAGATCACTGGTTGAAAGCAAGAATTCCTCACTCCAGACATAGTATGAAAATCACTGGTTGAAAGCAAGAATTCCTCACTCCAGACATATATGAAGATCACTGGTTGAAAGCAAGAATTCCTCACTCCAGACATATATGAAGATCACTGGTTGAAAGCAAGAATTCCTCACTCCAGACATATATGAAGATCACTGGTTGAAAGCAAGAATTTCTCACTCCAGACATAGTATGAAGATCACTGGTTGAAAGCAAGAATTCCTCACTCCAGACATATATGGAGCTCAGTGGTTGAAAGCAAGAATTCCTCACTCCATGCTAGATTATCCAAAAGAGATGCGTCTGCTGAGACAACATCTCGAAGGTTGAGTGCCTTGCAGTGCGGGTAGTGCTGTTTACATGATCCCGCGCTTTGCTGGGACGAGATGTGAGATGGGATGATTTTGATGTATTGAAATAAGTCACGGTGCACGATTCAATACATCAAAGTTATGCCGCCTTCCATCCCGGTAAACTGGGATATAAATGTGAACAACCCGAAGTAAGGCTTAAGGGAGCCTCTGGATAGTGTTAGTTCCGCATTAGCTGTCACGTGACTGCCTCCATGCAATCTCGTCCTCGTTTGATCCGGGTCTTAGCGGAGGATATGTTCTCATGCAGCTACATACACGCAATGGACATTTGCATTATAGACTAAATTTTGATCTAGACAAAAATTTCATCACAGCTTGAAAGAGCATCACAAAATTAGTAATATTCCAAAGTTTCGTTGCGAAATGTTGTAAAATGCGCATAATATAGCCCTGCGAAATTTGCAATTTTCAGTCATTTTGTATTACAAACGGGAAATTGATGCCCCAGATTGGGCTGTCAATTTCCCGTGCGTAATACAAAATGACTGAAAAACGCCAAACTTCGCAAGGCTACATTATCCGCATTTTACAACATTTCGCAACGAAACTTTGGAATATTACTACTTTTGTGATGCTCTTTCAAGCTGTGATGAAATTTTTGTCTAGATCAAAATTTAGTCTATAATGCAAATGGTCCATTGTTTAATCTGCAGCTTGCTCGAACCAACAACATAATTATTTTTGCTTATAATGTCTATATTTTAAATTACCCGATAATTAATTTCGCCTATATTTGACATTTGAGTGGTCGACAAGACAGCTGAATATATACACCAAGCCTCTCAAATCATCGTAAAAATTTTGCCAACTATTGTGTAACAGAAAATGAAATTATTATATAAACAAGAAGGGAAGAAAGAGCTCAAGAAGAAGTACAAGGAAATAGTAGGACTATAAGATTATATGAAGTAAGCCTGCTTATAGTTGAAGACGCGGGCAAGTGAGAACCACGTATCGAAAAAGTATAAAACAGTATGTACAAATTTTTCATGTAATAATATACAAATATATATTTTAAGTGTGTTTTACTGGTTTGGTTTTTAACGAAATTTCATAGTATATGTTTACCTCAAAATCTTCACTACATGCAATTGTAGATCGTCACTGTTTTTTTTTGTTTTTTTTTTTTGGGGGGGGGGGGGGGGAGTGTCTCGCACGCCTATGTATATACTTATACTGCAGTACAACTATACTGCTACAGTATTTATGTTCTTTCCAATTTTCTTACTGCTGTACGAGTTTGATTGGCAATATCTTTTCTCTGGGAACTCGGGTTTCCTCACGATGTATATGGTGACTCTCATAAAGGGTGACCCTTACTAGACATCTGGGGAGAACAATATATACAGTATAATTGAGAAACCTCTAGAATACAAGAGGACTCTTTAAGTCTTACTAGACATATATAGGAAGAACAATTTATAGACTACATGCAATAAGGGTCTTAAGACCTGATCAAACGAACATGAGAGTTGATGAGAGTTGCCAGTCACGCATTGTTCCAGGGGACATTTGAAGCTCCTAGATTAACAAAATAAAGGTTTGATGAATGTTGAATGAAATATAGTGTGCCTGCAGTGTAGGTAGCGACGTAGGTCAGCTGTGTAATATGTATAGCTCGGTGGGTTACGCTTTTTTGGTTGAGTCAATCTTCTGTAAGGTCCCTAGCTATGCAATGTTGACTTACAGTTTGTCTGGAAGTCATGTTGTAACTATTAACCACTTATCTTATATATAGGTTGTCTACAACAACTTGACTAAATTTTGTCTATGATTCTGATATACATATACATATATATACTACGTGTCATGCATTATTTGGATAGTTTCCTCGAACAATTGTTATTCTCTGATTATCCTCTCTGCGGTCATAACCACAAACATGAACCATGCAGTCAAATAATATTTTTTATAGAAATATAGATATAAATTTCTGTATGTCGATATGGTATATTTAAAAACAAAGGCGCCGCTATATTTGACTCGCTTTCTATCCAGCTTGCATTCAACTTATATAGTTTTACTCCAATCTCACTCAAATTTATAAATAAGACAATCTCTGAAACTTTGCATGTATTTATAACTTTGTCTTTAATCAAAGCAGTATTTTGTCTCAACTATAGGAACCACGAGAACAGAGGAGAGAGTTACAAGAAAGATTTTATTCTAGAAGTGTGATCCACCATATTTGAAATGTGGATTTTAATTTTCTTATTCTCACCATTTGCTGGTTCAACTTCAACAACACCTAATCCAGGTTAGTAAATTTCAAAACTAGAAAATCTAACGAAAGCCAAGTAAGACATGTGAAAAGATGAAGAATATATCAACAGACATCATTTTGAAAGTTTCTCTTAATGTAGGGGTATTGGCAGTGCAGTTATAAGACTTATAAGTGTGCGCTTGTCACGTGTGAAACTGGACTGCATTTGTCTTGATCATGTGTGTGAAAGGTGCTTCTAGTATGGTTCTACCAAACACACTGATTTTCTTCACCTGCAGTAACACTGGACCAATATAGTCTCTTACTAGGCCTCTAGGGAGAACACTTTAGATTTAATAGAACTATCCAGTAAGAACAAAGTCAGTTTAGTTTTAACGAATAGCATTCAAAGTGCATAGAGCTCATTTCATATCTTCACTTGCAATTCTTATTTTTTAGTAAACAGTCTTAACATATCCACACATGGGAATATCACTCTTGGAGGTCTCTTTCCCATTCACAAGGAGGGCGATAAAGAAAATAACTGTGGAGAGTTCAATGAAATCCCTGGTTACCAGTACATGGAAGCGATGCGTTATGCCGTAGAAAAAATCAACAACAGGTCAGATTTGCTCCCGGGAATTAGACTAGGAACGATCATTTACGACACTTGCCGAAGTCCTACGATCTGCGCCGACAGGACGAAAGACTTTATACAGCTTACGCTACAGACTGCATCGGACGACCAGCCTGCATCGGGCGACCAGCTTGCAAATCTTGCAGGAATAATCGGTCCTTTTGTGAGTGGAAATTCAAAAATCGTCGGTAGTTTCTTACGTGTGTTTGAAATCCCACAAATAAGTTATGCATCTCTGTCAGTTGAACTGAGTAACAAGGATATTTATAACTACTTTTTTCGGACAGTCCCTCCTGACAGTTTCTTTGCAGAAGCTTTGGCCGAGCTGTTGGAGAGACTGGGTTGGAATTATGTATCGTTAATTTATTCCAAAGGCACTTACCCGGAAACTGGCGCTCAAGAAGTTGAAAAAGCGTTGGCAAAACGCCACATTTGCTTAGCAAAAAAACATCGCTTGGCGCGATTTCCGAAAGAATCCGAGTACGACGAAGCGATCGACAAAGCAGTCAAGGTAAAAGAAGCGAACGTTGTCGTCTTCGTGACGATTCAACGCGATTCACGCAAGTTGCTCTTAGCAAAACGGCGACAACCGCAGGCCAAGAGACTCTTGATCGTGGGCAGCATCGCATGGAGCAACCGAGATGACATCACTAAGGAACTGGGTAAGATTGCTGACGGCACCATCACCTTTGCGCACCAAGAAGGAGAGATCAAGGACTTCGAAAATTACTTTCGCTCGTTAAATTTATCAAACTACAACGCAAATTACCAAGGCTGGTTCCATGAATTTTGGCAAAAACAATTCAACTGCTCCTTAAACGATTCAACATACTCCTTAGTGGCAAAGTATCCAACTCCTTGCACGGGGAAAGAAAGTCTGCATAAAACACGCATGGAAATTGCTCCAGTTCGAGTCGTAATCAATGCAGTAAATGCAATGGCGTACGCTTTACACAACGTGCAACAGGCTCTCTGTCCCAATACTGAAGAAATATGCAACGCAATGAAACCCTTATCAAGAACGCTGCTTCAAAAATTTTTGAAAAACGTACCTTTCCCGATTCGTCGTATGGCTGGCCAATCAAATTCGATCAATATAACGAAGTAGAAGGCAACTACACCGTGCTCAATTTTCGTCCCAGGGAGCGAGCCCCTGGATATAGTTATGATAAGGTCGGGACATGGAAGGGACAAATCGCAAAAAACGGTGAAATAAGTGGGATTTTGGATTTCAATTTATCCGATATACGCTGGGTTAACGAAAATGGCAGTAAACCTTCATCGGTATGTAGTCTAGCGTGCGACACGAAGCGCATTACCAAGCCACGCCCTGGGTCTGCCAGCATGTGTTGCTGGGATTGCGAGAAGTGCAAGGAGCATGACATTATCATGAACAACACGTGTCAAACATGTGCCACAGGTTATGTACCAAGTCATCATTTCAGCAAATGCTCAAAATTGACATTGAAATATATAGACATTAATTCGCCCTTAGCAGTGACCTTGATCACAATTTCTCTGTTCGGCATTGTCATTGATTTTGCCGTGTTTGTGGTATTCTTTGTGAACCGCCACAAGCCGCTGATAAAGGCGTCGAGTCTAGAAATGTGCTATATGATGTTTTTAGGGATATTTGTGATTTTCCTCATTCCTGTGACGTCTCTGGCAAAACCCACCGCAGGCCTATGTTATTTCGGAAGATTTTTGATGGGAATTTCCTACACCATTTGTTACGCACCACTGTGCATGAAACTTTGGAGAATTTACCGTATTTTTAAAAGCTCGCATGACATACGGCGAATGAGTGGTTTGCTTGGCCGACGTTCACAACTGTTAATTACATTTGGTCTTATCGCAATTCAAGCGTTGTTCTTCATTCTGATATCAAGCACCAACCCTCCAGACTTGGTTGAGAATTTCTACGCTCACACGGGTGAACTGCATCTTGAATGTTACCTCACGGCCCCGGTATTCATCGCCTACTTGACGTACAATGTCGTACTCATGTTGCTGTGTACGGTCTACGCATTCATCACACGACAATGTCCCAAGAATTTCAACGAAGCCATGCATATCGGTGTGACGATGTACCTCTCTTGCGTGGTGTGGGTCGTGTTTCTCGCGAGTTTTCTCAACGTCAACGACAGCATCTCGCGTGTTTATTGGATATGCGGAGCGAGCGTTGTGATTGGCTGGATTACATTACTTGGACTTTTCACGCCAAAAGTTTATCAAGTTTTCACGAAAAGATACGTGGATGAGAGCACTCTGATAACGTGGAGAAATTCCCTTCTAAGACGCTTGGCAAGTGCTAGCACCTCCGAGGAGCCGACGAGCCCGGGACTTGTGAAACAAAACCCAATGACTATACAGGGAGAGAAACTTCAATTGACCGTCCCGAAAAGAATGCTGAGTAGCAGTGACAACGATAAGAGAAATAGCAAACTATAAAACATCTGTGTAGATTATAGCTATTAATATTGACTGGTTGAGCTGCTTGTCTTGCTCAAAACATTCAAATGCACGTTACAAAAACTTAGAACAGACAATTTTTGGTTTTCAATCGTGTGATGTTTTAGCATAATTTTACTCAAGTGGGGGTCAATCATTGAACTAGGGTCAACTAAAAACAACAAAGAAACAAAATAACTGTCAACGCATCTTATGTAAATGAGTTCTGTGACTATTACAAAAGCCAATATAAAGCAATATAAAAGCTGTCCTTTACCCCTGACCCTCACTTGTGTGGATGTGATATCAAATGAAGCCCAAGATATTTGTGGCTGTTATACTCAGTTGCAAATGAAGGTGTATGATTGACAAGGATAGTAAGGTATGATACAAGATGTTGCACAAACACTTGCAAGGTGACTACAGTTCCAGGAATTTCCAATGGATATTTAGGGATAACATGTGGGATATTTAGAATTAGGACTAGGGCTATTTGTGGATAATTTAAATCAAAATTGAGAGTACATTGTAGAGACACCTACTACTTTAAAAATGATTTGTCACTCCATGGCCTGTAATTGCTTGACAATACAAGAAATTTCAAGACTTTCAAATTCTGTTTTTGAAGAACAAATCACATACACTAATCCCTTTTATTTAAAAATGGCAATCACAAAACATATCCACATTTATACCTATATCTTTACTGTAAATAGTTTAAACAGTTCTACTTATGTATTATATGAAGTATTGGCATGCTGTATGGCCTATTAGTATTTCTCCTATTTAGTATTTTATTATTTCTCATTGTATTGTATTTTAATGTGTTTAGCCATATCACTCTGCTGTGGTTTATAAAGTCTATAGTTTTATAAAATTAAACAGTAGGCCTTTGGTGATTAAATCTTGTTTAATTTACACTATATTTACACTAGAGTGATGGAAATTCACCTTGAGTTCAAGCCAGCTCACAGTGTGGCTAGATTCTGTACAGGTGTTCAGGTCCAACTTGTGCTAACAGACATAACATTGAGGGGTTTTAGGCACCCCTGGACCTCTATGCCCTATTCAGCCCTGTTTTGTGTGAAAAAACGGCAATTGCTAGATAGTATACTTCAAAATAAGGTTTCCGTTTTTATATCAATTTTTAAAATAATTAAAATAAGTTAGGGTTAGGTTAGGGTTTAGGTTAGGGTTAGGTTAGTGGTTAGGGTGAGGGTTAGTATTAGGGTTTAGTTTTGCGTTAGGATAGTTTTTTCTACGTTATAAAAACGGAAATCTTATTTTGAAGTATACTATCTAGCGATCACCGTGAAAAAACCTGTGAAAAAGTTGCGCGTGCGCAGCCAAAGAAAATCTGCAACATCTGCAACTTTCTGCAACTGCAACACTGAATCTTTCGCTGTATGAAAACGACGGAATATTAATATATTTAATCCAAAGCCACGAAAAACGCAGTATAGCCAGTAATCCAGTATAGAATGAAATAAAGTTCATAATAAATGCAAGAAAAGGAATACCCACGTCAAAACAGTGCACTAAATTCTCAAATTCATTTTATATTGACTTACCCACATCAAGTTGAGGCGACTCAGGCGAGCACTCGAAAATATTAAAATCACTTTTTCATCTTTTCAATTCCTCTTCAGTGTTTCCTTTTCTTCTTTAAGTTTTGGAAAATAAACAAAAATATATTCATGTATCTATCTGTCTGTTTCGAAGTGAACAACGTGCAGGTCAAAGGTCGCGTACAGCCGTAAAGAAAAACGGATACTCGAAAAGTCGTTGAACATAATCAAAGATCTAGACACTATTGTAAGAAGCTTTCCCATCGTCAAAGGAATTGAACAAAACTGAACAATATCCTAAAAAAATGCATTACGTTTATTATGTAATAAAATACTAAAGGTATTTGTATTTTATGTGGAAATTAATATAGTCCAGATTTCGGCTTCAAAGTGCACTTTTGACGTATCCATTTTACTGCAGCAGAGGATATTATAAATAAATCAATAAACTTAGTTTTATTTTCTGTTTTCCAATATTTCTATATTTTGAAGCTATAGTACTCTATTCTCCACAATTTAGGAGATTTGTTAGTCTGGTTTGAATACCAGAATGCTTCAAAGTAAGCCAGGTTGGTTACAAAAGGCTGTGAAAGGTGTGCTTTTAGATATTACAGGGGTGTTGTATAACAGTGGACAAGGGTTGGGGCAGGCCATCCCTGGATCAATCAATGCTGTGGAGAGGTGATGTATACTAGGGATACTAGGGGGAAGGTTGGAGGGGCATGATTGATGCATACATTTGTGTACAAAGTAGAGACAGGCTTAATTATTCATATGCATGTATATATAAACATATACAAAATGCCAGTGTGGAAAGTTTGTATCGGGCAACTGAGATAGCAGGTGCGCAATTTGATGCTTTCTGTATATTTACTATTAATTTTTTTAAAATCTTGGGTGTGCAATTTCCAAACTTTCCACTCAGGGCATAATTATTTTTTGGGACTAATAATAAATTTATTTCAACAAATAAAGTCAGGGGTGTGACCCCCCCCCCCAATTAAAAGTTCTGAGGGGACCCTATTTTGGCCCCTGGAACCTGGCAAGATTATGGCAAAAACATGACAAGATCACGGAGGTGTTGGAGGCAAAGATCTTGCAGGATTTATACAAGATCTTTTCAAGATCATGGCATGATCGTGGCAAGACTTTAGGAAGATCTTGGAAAGATCTTAGGAAGATCTTGGAAAGATCTTGCCAATACTGTCAACCTGGGGTTGCAGGCCCAAGACAAGTTTATTTTTTATTGATGGAAACAATTTTAGCACATTTTTGATGAGGTAACCAGGGACCACCAAGTGACCCAAAACCAGCAGGGGCAGCGGAAAGTCGATAATTGGGGGGGGGGGGCTGATATTCATATATTCATGTTCTGCATCATTTATTTCCTTTGAAAGCGATTGTTTTTACAGTCTGTGAACACGAATATATGAATATCAGCCCCCCCCAATTATCGACTTTCCACCACCCCTGAAAACCAGTACTGGTAGGCTGGGGACAAAAAGAGAAAATAGTACAGGTTCTTAACCCAAAAGGTTGCCCTCCACAGCCTCTTTCATCCGAAAGTCAATGTTTGTCAGGTGCAGCCACCTGATGATTCCTTTTGGACGAACAAGCTATAGTGGCAAACGTTTGGGGTAAAATACTATAATTTGTACATATCTTCATGTATTTTGTATTATGTAATTTCCTAACTGTACATATCTTCATGTATATTGTGTTATATAATCAATTGCACACCTTGATTGTAATAGCAAATCTGGTGACAAATAAGTGTTTATGTCATGAATGTCAGGAGTGTAATAGTAAATGACAAAGTGTGGCAAAATGTATAGTAAAACTGATACCATATGTCCTGCACTATTTCATGACCAGAAAAGTTGAGAACCAAGCATATTTTAAGTGTAAATTTGCATTCAATAGGTTAAAATCATCAGGCATTCCTGTGAAATTTTGCACCAATGAGACGCAATGCACTCGTGAAAAGTTGGTATCGAAATTAAACAAACTTGGTTTTAGTTTAACATTGAATGAAGTTCACTCACCAGCTCCACTTGCTGTTGCATATATCAAGGAACATAAACTCAGACCATATTTACTGGTTCACACAGAAGCTTTGGGTGATTATGCAGATGTTGAAAAGTCAGAATCAAACTGTGTTGTTGTTGGCGATGCAGCTGAAGAGTTTAATTATGAAAATATGAATAGAGCTTTCAGAGTTCTCTTGGAGTCAGATAATCCTATAATTCTGGCTTTGGGAACTGGGTAAGGAATGTCAAATGAGTATCTGTGTATGTTTTGAGGCATGAAGTTATAAAATAATACTCCCTCTTGTAGACGATACTACAAAGACAGCGGCGAGCTAGTTCTTGACAATGGTCCGTTCATAAAAGCCTTGGAGGTACAGTAAATGCATCCTTTTATAAAGTACATCATTAATCATTATGTACGCCATTTTCTTCCTCAATAAATTGACTCCACTGTTCTGTTTGGTAGTATGCTTGTGATGTGAAAACTGTCGTCCTTGGCAAGCCAGCTACCTCGTATTTTGATGGTGCGGTTAAAAAACTTGGTGTCCCAGCAGAAAATGTAAGGCTTTGTAACTTTTTATAACATAGATCATAATTGTCATTGGTTAGAAAATTCAGCACCTGAAACGGGTTCTTTATACTTTTACGTGACGTTTACCATTTTACGTGAATACATATATACAGGATTTCACCACCCTTTCCAACCTATTCAGTATGTGAGACAATGCTGAGTGAGACAATGAAGACATGTTTCCCGCAATTCCTGGTAATGGCTGTGAAACATGTAGCCTGTAGCAAGTGTTATGTACTGAAGACAAAGTTGCATACACATGCAGTATAAAAAAATCACGTACGTAAATTGTTCCAGTAAGGTTCAAAACCAAGCTAGCGCTCGAAACATTTGTTTTCGTATCTTTTTCGGGTCGTTTTTCAAAGCTGTCGAAAACCAAAATACTGTACTATAAATTCATGCGATGTGTTTTCAGGTTATTATGATCGGAGATGATTTGATAGGTGATGTTGGTGGAGCACAGTCGTGTGGTATTAGAGGTGTTCAAGTTAAAACTGGCAAGTATAGGTAAGATGTACATCATTATGCATTACTATAGAGGTTCAGATTAGACTTGTACTACCACTACTATTAAGGGACCATCAACCAGATGCATTTCATATATTCGATTAACCAATCAGTTGCATTTCGTATATTCGATTAACCAATCAGTTGCATTTCATATATTCGATTAACCAATCAGTTGCATTTCATATATTCGATTAACCAATCAAATGTGTACTATTTAGCCAGTGAAAGGTAGCGCCGTAGTGGAAGTCAAATTTTGGAACGCTTTTGAGGCGTTATCGAGGAGTCTGTCACAATTATGCTTTTGTTTTCCACAGGCTACAGGATGAACAGCACGAAACAATAAAAGCTGATGGCCGCGTGAAAGACTTGGCCGAAGCTGCAGAACTCATTTTACAATTTAATACTGTGACAACCTAACACGAATCTTGATCATATTAAGATATCAATAAACTCTGTTAGACATAGTCATAGGGAAGAACATGGCAAAATTAAAATCAATATTAAATTAATAAGTAAATTAAATTAATATCAAATTCTATTATAGCAAGAATATTGCGAAAGCACTTTCTATGTATCGTGCATGCCCAAGTGATCCGTTTTCAGGTCAAATACGTAAGGCGGCCAATTATTTAAATGACATTAGCATTTTAGGTTATTCCAAGGAACAAATTTGTGACAGATTTTTGTTGCTTGTGAATAATATTGTTTCAAAAAAGAATAATCACAAACGCGGACCTTTTGCTTTGGGAGTCAGGGGTAACATTGTTACTATCCGAATTGACGTCACAAGGATTAGGAGAATGGTTGTTTGCTGTTTGTGACGTGGAAATTCGCCCGCAGTACAATTTCTATTCGTGCAGACAACCGCAATGTTTTGTAGGAAGTTGGGGTTATGTCCTCATATTGGCTCACAATAGGGTAACGTTGCGATTGGCGTCAAGATCAAAGAGAAATATTTTCGTACACGACACACGAGGACATCCCTCCCACCTTTAGGGAAGAACAGTTCATATATGTAACTGAGTTAGCTTGCTGCTGTAAATAAAGCTTTTACTCACTTTATCAAAACGTTTCTAATCATTTCAACTATATTATAAGAAAATTTCAAATAAACACTAAGTAAAGAGTAAAATCAATGTAGTAATGATAAAATATAGAAGCAATCAACTCCTCATCCTTGATCAAATGTTTTCACTTATTCTGCTCCTAACGCATAAATAGTTTTTTTTAAGCTTGTACAGTTTGTTCTTTGTTTGTGTTGTCTTCATCATCTGACTTGCCAGAGCCGAGTGATGTTCCTGACATGGAGCGTGTGCGCAGAGTTGGCACTATAAAAATAGAGAGATTAAAGTGTCTCTTGTTTAGAAGTATTCCGGTCAGTCTGGAAGAAAAGAGTTGCTACACCTCACAAATGTGGCAGTCCAGTATAGGTATTACCCGCCCTGGTACATGTGTGCAGTCTTGTTGCGTAAATTGGCCGTCCCCTTTCAAAATCCTGGGTAAATGCCTGATCCTAATGCACAATAGTGGATCTTAAATTAAGAAACCGGATCTAAATCCTGCAGGAAATTTACTAAAACAGCAAAAGAACGGTTTCACACATACTTTAAGGATAATATACCATATAGTTATTTTGGCATCCTGACTTTTAACGTAAAAACAGTTACGGTATATAACATTAAAAGGCATACTAACCAAGTCCTAATCCCTGAATGAAGAGCAGTACTCCTTCCGCTGACTGTAAAGGCTAGACACAAAACATAGATATTATACTTTCCAGTACTCATGTATACAACCGCCAAAATGTTTGCTCACCTTCTCATCCAATGGATCAGATCCACAGTCGTCCAGTCTCAAAATATTGCACGTACGTTTATTGAGATGACTGAAGAATTTCTCCTGTAACAATAAACAGCACAATAAACACTACATTCTGATTATCTTTTTTCATGAATTACATATTCATGCAAAAAGTCAACAAGTCCGCCTCTCTAGAGTCCGCGGGAGAGCGCGAGGTGCAAATAATCTATGCGACATGGAGCAAGTATACATCTGAATACGACTCCACTGGATTTCGTACAGTACACCAATTGTTCACTTCTATCAATAGCACTTTGTCAAATGATCAATCTCATTTGGATCATATGTTCCTAGCGTTCACAATGCGTTCCAATCCACCTTCTGTTTTCGTTCTAATCGAACCGGACTTCGTTCGGACCGCAACTCGAACGTGTTTAGAACGCATTAAATATTTAACATATTGCGTTAAAACGCAACGTGTATCAACGTGCAATGAATATAATTTCTAAAATGCGTATTTTCTCAACAATCTGTTCTAGACAATTGGAAATAAAGATAATTCTACCGATTCCGATTGTCTACCAATAAGGCAAAAATCGGCCCGATTATCGGTCAATCACTACCAAAAACTACTGTCTGTAGTAAATTGAACAAAATGACATACCGAATCCTTATGATGTGGAGATAAGTCACCATTGATTACCAGGACTGGACACCTATAGGAGCATGAAATTTCATTTGGAAGCTGTCTGCGTGTACTCAACAGTATACACATCTCTGTGGTTTGACAAAATTTGAACAGAATTTATACTTACTCAATATTCTTGACTTCATGTGTAATATCACTTCGCCTTAAAAAGAAACAGATAGTTAACTTGATGACTGCCTCAGATCAGGTAGTTTCAAGCTTCTAAGGTAACTTCAACCTTTTCATAAAATTATAAAATCATGGAGTATATGGCACTTACTGCATATAAGCATGGACAAATAAAGCCAAGTTATGTGGGTTGAAACAATCAGTGAGTGTTTTGATGTACTCATCAACAGAGGCCATATCTGGTTTGCCATGTTTCTGAAAAGGGGAATAACAACATTGTACGTGTATTTGTGTTGTAGTACACTGTAACATACATTGTATGAACGAGCCAATCAGCTTTTCTCACACCATGCAACAAGACCTGGTCCCATGGCATGAGGAAGGCTTATTTAGTGGGCTAGCAATGGATGATCAATCTGGAGGCGTGGAGCAAAGTTTTGTCTGTGTCTAAATGCTGCAAACAGATGGATCTTGACACACAAATTCTCTCTATACCTTTCCAAAATGGTGATGAACAAAGTAATGATTAACTTGCTCACTGAATCCTTTGGTTTCTAACTGCCATGATCGAATCTAGATAAATTATAATCAAAGCAAAGTAATAAGAATACAAACTACATTACAGGTGTGAAATCAAATAAGATACCAAATCACACATATTATTGGATAACAATGGCCATGTAATTATTCTACCTTTTCTTCAGCTTTTTCCAGCAATGGAGCTTTCCCTGCAGATGGCTCTACAAGAATGAGGCCAAGTGGCTTGGATGGGTGTTTCAACTAAACATAAAAAGATAAGCACTGTACAGTACATAATAATATACAAAATCAGCAGGTTCGATCAGATATTTATTTGAAGAAAAAAAATTGGAAAGTTACTACTCAGTACTGTAAGAGGCTTACAGCATATCTTGCCAAGATGTTTGCACCTGCACCGACACCAAAGCCGACGACATCTGTAAGCCTAGAAAATGAACAACATGTGCACAGCTAGATGATACATTAAGATTAACCCACTGAGTGGCAGCACTTTGACACATAAAATTAACCCATTGAGCCCCAGAACACGAGTCAAGTCGTCAAATTATGCAACTTAATGTGTTAACCACATTGAAGTAAAAGACCACAATGCTGTACACCAATAAGGCATGAAATAAAACAACCATGGGGTCACTCTGGTGGCCATGGGGTCACTCTATCTCCATGTAAACAGGTTCTTAGACAAACTAGAATAACAATGCTTATATTTTATGTTGTATATACATACCCAAAGTGCTCCACAACACTGTCAACACTGTCTGCTAAATTGTCCATTGATGGATACTGATACCTGAACAAATAACATTGATATATTTTGTCAATACTTTGGAATTTAATCTAAATAAATTAGTATTTTAAACTACAAGAGTTATGATCACTTAATTCTTACCCATCAGAAAATTTCTCAGCTCCTGGTTCCTAACACAGAAAGAATTAAATTCTTTTAACAGTACGTTCTGACCAACAAAGCATCAATTTTGATCAACCTCGTTCACAGGATCTTCCCTCTTGTTCAGGAAAACCAGTCTTTTTCCTCCACAAGAGGCAAGAGCCTGGGAATGAGGTTACAATTTTGATTTGACATAATACATTTGATTGCAAATGATACTAGTATATATTTTATATTCTTTAATTTAAAAGCTTAATAGTTAGGTATTCAAGAATTGTGGTGCCTGGGTAAATTTGACAGCACTTCATTTTGTGGCCGTGATTTCATTCATTCCTTCAAAATCTTCAACCTTGTAACCATGGTATTTTCTCCTACATCCTGGTACCTGGGTTCATGGAAGAGGAATCTTACATGTCAAAGAGAAGTAATTTCCTACTAATTTGAAGCATAATGCTGGATATTTATAAATACAATGATGGAGAATAACTTTTCACTAGACTAGACTAGACAGGTCACCACACTAAATGTTGGTGTACATACTTGTCCAGGAGCCAGAATGTGGTAGACAATAAAACGATCATGTAGTTGTTTCATATCTTCATGGTTCAAAAACTTCTCAAAGCATGTTTTATCTATATAAGCATGAAAGTATATCAGACATATTAGGGAAGGATGGAGGCTCATCTGTTGGAAGGGGTACAAATATTTGCAAGGTGATCAATGGCTTTCAATTTGCATGCATGTGCAAAAAACAAAATACTTACAAGGAATTTTTTAAATTTTAAAGTGGAAACACACTTGCAACAACAAAATAGCTCTTGAAGTAGCCATTCCGAAGTTGATGAGTGGACTGGGGACGAGTGTTAAAAAGTGCCCAAATTAAGAAATGGACCAAATCACTAAAAAGACCACCTCAAAATTAGTAAGTATACACAGTTTGAAGACGTTTACAAGAATATCCTTCGAATAATAAGCTTTCGAAAATGGTGATATTTACTATGAAATGTATTGTAATTATTGTTTTTGGGACGGCACGTCCCAAAAACAATCTTTTAATCAGTAATTTCAGAATTTTCGAAAGCTTATTATTCGAAGAGTATACATGTAAACGTCTTCAAACTTTGTATACTTACTAATTTTGAGGTGGTCTTTTTAGTGATTTTGTTCATTTCTTAATTTGAGCACTTTTTAACACTCATCCCCAGTCCTCTCATCAACTTCGGAATGGCTAATTTGCTTTGGATTTTGAACAATGGTTTTGAATGTCTTTGAGACTTCTTAACATCCATTAATTTTGCAAGTATTTTTGTACAATAATTTCAGCAATTTTCTCTCTCTTAGAAAAAATCATACTTAATTTGTATCTTGACAGTGAAAGCATCTGGTGTTAGACAGAGTAAAATAATAAAGTGGAGCACAATGTAACTTAATGGGTTAACTAGACACCCAGACAGATAGTCTGATTAACAGATGCTCTCCCCTTGACAAGTAAAATTATATGGCATTAGACAGCTAGAGTAAAGTAATGGGACTTGCCATTAATAATTAACCTGCTTGGAAAGATTGGTCACATGCCTCACATAAATATTCACAGCATTCATTCATTTGGGAACCAAAGCCAATTTAGATTGCATAACAAATATATAAATATTGAAAGACTTCCAACATTATTAAACTTTTATTGCTATATAAGCATCTGCATTTTAATGAGATGGTCTGCCAATATTTTTCTTGCTGGCAAATCATCTTTTTTTAAAAATTGTTTACAAATTTTATTACAAATGTTCATTTTTATGCCTGCTTCAAAAATTTTGGCTTTATTTTTGCCAAAAAGACAACCTTTGCATGATAATTATCACAATGACACAAGGAAATTTGTTTTGATGTAAAATTGCTTTAATTTGCATTTCCCTTGTTAATATTACTACCAGAAATAATCGTGAGCAATACAAGATAGAGCCCTTCACGTCTAGTATAGATAAAAATTGATTACATGTAAAACCAAATGCTTACGATTCAAACCAATGTCATGAAAGGTTAACAATATATTTATTCCTTTTGACTTTACATCTTCCTTGCCTTCCTCTCCCTGAAATGCAACGCGACTTTAGTCACTAATAATTTTTTGGCCAAAAATGTCTGGCAAGGCCATAACAAAATTAAAATAGCCTTTAATATAACCCGAATATTTACACAAATATTTTACACGAACTACTACAGACACAGTACAGTGTGATGAAGGCTCGTCAATATCTTAGACTACTTCGATTTAAGCAAATAAAAGACAAACCGCACAATACCTCGATTATAACAGTCAAGTCTCCAACCTTTTCAACCTGCAACGAATACGACATAAGGATTTGATAAAGCAACAGACACAAGTAGAGAAGGCAGAGATTTCAAGCAGACGCCAAAGGCACATCTGGTGGCCAAAAGCATGCAGTTAAAACGAGAACATTCTTATGCATTAAAACTGAAAAAATACATACTCGTTCGCTCATTGCGAAACTTTGTTATGCAGACACACACCAAATGTTTAAGACAATGAAAATAGGAAGAAAGAGAACCAAATACTGGTTTATACAACAGCGTGTACACAATCAACTTGTAAAAGCTGCAAGCATTTGTTGAGCGAGTCGAGCCTGGGGAATCACAACATTGTCTCATAAACCAATCACAACGTCAGAAAAATATTTTCAGCCAATCAGATTCGTCGAAACATTAACATTGCGCAAGGGTGAAAAGCCGCCATATAATAATTTTATCCTCTTTGCTCAACAATGGCGGCCACTTTGCTCAATTTTACAGGAACAAAACAAACATTTATTAAAGGAAAAGTAATTTAACTTTTGAACTGAAAGCAGAATTTTAAAATAGCATGTAAGTCCAACATAAATCGACTTTCTTGAAACATAATTACACATGAATGTGGCGCGAATAATGCAACTTTAAGCGTTAAGGAGCGCAAGAGATCACGCTGGGCAAAATATGCCGTACCAAATTGATCAAAGAACTGTCTTGCGACTTTGCAAAATAACTAAAATAATGACGTACAGTATTTCATTTCAGTTTTAACAAGCCTAAATTTTGTTCATTACAACTACAACATCAGAAATATATTTGGTGAAAAAATAGAGTTATCACTATTAAAAACGACATCACGGTCAATTAATTATTCTTACCGAACAGGGATGCCATATACTATCAATTTCAAGTACTGCAGCAGCCATTTTTTGTGCCATTCTTCAAAAAATGCACACTTGTTTGTATGTAGTGAGAATTATAAGATGTGTTTCATTGTTGTATTTGTGTAGAATATTGGTCCGTCGTGCAGGCACTCAAGTTGCCTAGAAAACCAACAACCCAAGTAACATCCATATCACTAGACGTTACTATCGCAAGGAAAGTACTGCCTTACATACACAATCACACATTTATATACAGTGGCGAAGCTGGATATAGGAACTGGTCATGTTATGCAAATGTTTGATTTTAGTTATTCAAACCTTTGGAAATTTATTATTTCTAGATTATCTAAGTGCACGTTTATTTGCATAGCATGACCAGTTGCCATGGCTGGCTTTGCAGCTGTTTATAGTGAGTGAAGTCTTTATTTAAAGAGGGTAAAAGCACATAATAATTTACAATTACACTAAACAGACCAGATTAAAATTACAAAGAACTATTATCCAACACAGAATAGCTAAAGCCTTTTAGTAGAATCATACTAGTAGTATATTAGGCTATTGCTGTAATTTGAAATGGTTTCCGGCTCACGTTTTTCTGAGGACTATTTTATGTTTGATCTCTGATTCTACTAAAACAATTAAATTTCTCGCTCTCGATTTCTATGAGGTGATACTTGATTCGGGCTTCGCTCTCATTAACTATCACCTAATTATTACATATCATCGGCTCTTTGTCCCGCAAGATTTGTCTTCAACGTTTTGTATAAATTAAAATAGCCAGAAAAATTCGCGATTCGAAAACCTTGCAACCAGGGCTTTATATATATAAGCGCCCTGATTGCAACCCTGCGTATCTGTTGGTAGCTTCTATACTCAGTAGTTTATCAACAAAAGCGTCAAATGGAGTTTGTTTTTCTCGTCCCCAATGTAATATCGATAAATTCGCGATTCGAAAAAATACATAACATATATAATAATTTATTAAAAACTAGCTTTAAAAATACATATATTCATTAAATAATTACTGTCTAATTATCACACCAAGGAGTTATTTTATATTTACAATTCAATTCAACGGCAACCATGGAGACGGAATTGCCTTCAATAGTCATTTCATGTCTGCTTATTATTTTATGATCCATTGTATTCAACCCAGTTTCACGATCTCTGTTGAAGGACGACTAAAATGAAATCAAAAGACAATGACATAAGAACGGATATTGAGGAAAATGAGGCAAACGAGAAAGTGACGGTCTGGACACATCAGGAGAAGAGAGGAGGAAGACCCAGTAGAATGATGATCCAGTAGAATGATGACCAGGAGAATGATGATCCAGTAGAATGATGATCCAGTAGAATGATGATCCAGTAGAATGATGACCATGATGACCCAGTAGAATGATGACCCAGTAGAATGATGACCCAGTAGAATGATGACCCAGTAGAATGATGACCCAGTAGAATGATGACCCAGTAGAATGATGACCCAGTAGAATGATGACCCAGTAGAATGATGACCCAGTAGAATGATGACCCGACAACGAACAGTTGGGAGACAAAAATGAGGCAGAGAGACAACGAGGTGT